TTGGCTTACTGTTCATGTCTCTTAGAGCGTGACAGGTGCAGCTTGATTTGCAGACTCCTTTCATTCGAGGAAAAGTAAGAGTCGTCACTGCTACTCTGTGAGTTCCCCTCATGTTTCTATATGTATAAGTAAATATATACACCATCTGAGACTCAGATCAGCAGCCCTCTGATCAGTAGCCACAAGCATCGAACACCATCTGAGTGCCTCAAGAAATTCACCGAGAGCCATCCCTAAACCCAAAACAGGTGTCGGTCGGAGACGCGACGTAAACCGCTGGACGGTCGGTCGGGTCACTGATCACTCCACCTGAAGGGGCCCAGGTGCTGATCCGGAAGGAGGTCCAAAAGGAAGGGGGTGGGAAGATGAGCTGCAGGTGGGTTCGGGGTTCTACAGTATCAGTACAATGGTTCTATAATGTTTTGTCTGAATGTTGGTTTCTCTCTGAAGGTCTTTGGGCATGGTTCGTGGTCCAACGATCTTCTGAGGATTCTCAGGACAGATCCTGGCTTAGAAGTGCACCCTTGTCCCAACTGTGGTGAGCCACCATTTGTAGTTCACGTTTTGTCCTTACTTCTCGTAATAACTTACAAAGGTGCTAGGGCCAACAGCAGTGGGAAAGGGGTGATGAAAGGTGTCTAACAAAACCTGGAACTAACACCGGTGATTGGAAGTTCAGGTTCCTCTACAAACATGAGGTGAACTCCGCTTCCACAGTATCCCTAGCACTTCCTGTCTGGGTGTCCCATGCATGATGCATACCGGCCTAGGGTATGTAGGGTAGGGTAGCCAGGACACCGTCTAGGAAGATCCTTCTCCTTTCAGGATTCCCAACAAAGCTTGTGTGACCCGAACTAGGACCCGTCACCCGAACTAGGGTACCAAACGAGCTCCGGAGAGTCCGCCCGAGCTCCGAACAGTCGGCTTCTTCAACCCCTGCTGGTCGATCCGCCCCGGGTTCTGTCTCTACAGTCCCCGGTGGCGCACACGCGCGCGCGCGGCCGTAGGCGCCCTGGAGGATCCGCGATTTGCCTCGTGCCTCCTTGCTGCGAGATGCTTGGCCGTGGGGGCTGGCAACATCGCATCCCAGACGAATGGGAATCGTTTCAGTACTAGTACATACTCATGTATGACTCGAACGAAAAAAGGCAAGGCAGCTGGCGGGACCCAGCACGTGTTCACATGGGACCCTGCACACGGGTCCGAGGCTGCAAGTCGCCCCACGCCGCGACATGGTGTGTGAGGCATCCACCACGGTCCACCAACATCATGAGCTCTGGACAATTAGTTGGTTAAAAAAACATAACTGTCCAGTCAAACTGTTGCAAAGCAAGAAACGTGGAATCTTACAACTATAGAACTACAAAATTCATGGTTTTGCGTTTGTTGTGCGCATGTGTGTTAGTGTGTGCGTGTGTGTTGCAAATTGTTTTCGTCTGATATTTGCGAAGATTGTGTTTGTTTGTGTTTGTTTTTCTTTGTGTGTGTGTGTGTTTGTTTTCTAGGGAGGACTGGTTGGACTGTGCATACCTCATCTGTCCTTTTCTATTCCCACTGTATTTCCTTATTTCGTTTCCTTAATTTTGTGGCCTTAGAATTAATGAAAAATACATAAAATAGTGTTTATTTCCTTTTCAGCCTGTTCAGAAATAAGGATTTCAAGACCTTCACATGTTCGGTCGTTTTTTATTTCTTTATTTCCATGCCCTTCGAGGGGGGTGGGTTAGGGGGGGAGGTGTAAACATGTATGATGATATGCAGATCAAATAACAAATAGGTCAAACAAAAAGCTTTTTGTGCGTGAAATGAACAAACATAGACACCTTTTGGACAAAACACTACTCAAGTCTGTTTTTTTCACTTTGAGATGACTCATTCAGAACTGGTAGAAACATTTAGGCACATGCATTTTGGGAAAATACATTCACACTTCCACTGATGCGAATGAGATGTTGCCCCGGGCAAAAGCACAGTTGTATGACTTATTGAATCTTTGAATCTTTGAGTGATTTTCATTGACCCGAAGATGGTTCGGTGACAGCTGAGTAGCATTCATGTCCCTGTTTATGACACCTTCCACCGCCCCGCAAAGGGGGTCTACCAGCACGGAGCTTGGACAGATCGATGTCGTCTTCCCTCCACCGTGCCATGGACCAGGAGAGATGTCACTCGAGATGATCAGCGTGAATGATGGGAGCTTCCAATTTCCACTGCCGGACTTCTATACCGAGGCCGGAAGACACATTGCCAGGCAGTGATATGCGTGTGCTTCACTTGCACAGAAGATGAATTCTGAACTGGGCACAAATCATCAGCGAACTGCTTGGAGTTCGAACTGGGCGCGATTGGGAGAATCGAACGGCATTCTTTTTATCATTGTACTCCCCTGCACATGGAACCATATGGAACCCCGAACCATCTGGAACCCCAAAAGCCCTGGGTTATTCGGAAAATGGTTGCAGCCCATGGTTGTCAACTCTGAAACATTTTTTGAAAAAATCGGATGACCGTGGAACAATATTCATCAATATCTTGAAGCAAAAGTTCTTCATGATTTGATCCAATAGTTCTTCATCAAAATCGTCCCAAAACCCGGTATTCATTCGATCCCTGTTTCGCATCTGAACCTGTGTCGTCACAGACATGGTGTCCACCAACCCTCCGTCCCGCTCGGCGCCCGGCCCCCTCGCGCCCTGCGCCCGGCACGTTTTTGGCCGCAGGTGGAGACTGGAAGCCATAGCCTCAATCTGGAAGATCAGAGTTCAGCTCCAGTCTTAGCCAAGGCCTTTCAGGCACGAACGGCGACCGGTCCCTGTCTCGATCACCAAGCTGGGTCGAGGCGTTGAAGGTCCGTGTAGCGTCGTCTTCGCGCATGGGGGGTGTCAGATGGGCTCGGAACTGATCGCTGGGCTCGGATGGGGGGCGGTTGGCATGAGCTGGAGTTGGCCATCCGGTGTTGTTGACTGTTAGCATGTTAATTCATATTAATTATTGTTTGAGCACTTTCCCCTAGTAGATGCCGGAGGGTACAACATCAACATCTCCATTACAACAAAGAGAGGGTTTGGTACAGGGGGGGTTCTCAATTAACAGCCAAAGGAGCAAACTCACAGGTCTTCCCTCGCCAACTCAACTCAAACTGCAAGAAGGTTGGGCACCCCACTTCACCTTTTGTGAACTCAGACAAATGGATTCTTCCATGGTCCTGGACCAGGAGCTTCTGAGAGAAACTCTGATTACTTTGAGGGACCAGTAGCGACACGGCGACACGTTGGGCATGCAAAGCAAGATCCATATAAAGCATCTCCCCTTCAACATCTCCATCCTTTCAACTTCCTTCCCCCCTTAACCTGAAGCTTCGCATATGGTGGGAACCTCCCCATCAGCTGGGAAGGCTTCCCATCCGACCTTGGTCCACGACCACTTCCTTACACACGCACTTCCTGTCGCGCACGTGTACTTCCTTCTCCGCCAGCGGAGGCGTTGCTGAGCATCTTGGCTTTGCCCTTGACACCGCATGGCTCTGGAGGACTCTTAGAGAGGCGAGCGAGGGGGTCGACGTAGCCCGACGTCGGTCGACTGAGTCGACTGAGTCGACCGGCTCCGGGACACAGATTTGGGCCGGCGGTCGGCGTAGGTGGACCGGGGGGTCTATGTCGGTTGGTATTCCAGTGCCATGAAAGAGTTCTCTTCATGTTCTTAGATTGTTTTCCCGAATGCGTAGCGAAGGGTTCTCGTTTAACTCTGGGGGTCTGGGGGTAGAGCCTTGTTGTCCCACAAGAGTGTCCTACAAGAGTGTCATTTGGACATATGTAGCTTTTTGAACGTGTTTGCATTCGGGTTCGTGGGCTCCATCTTGTATTTGTATATACTTGGTCATCTTGGTTCTACAGTTCTATACGTCTTTTCACTTTTCAATTCAACAGGGTAGGGCCAACGACCACTTGTCTCACTCAGACAAAGGTGGCTCTGGCAGGGAAAGAATGAGGGATTGGTGTTGAGATGTTTGGATTGACATGTTTGCTTTTTTTGTTTCAATTTTGGCAACTCGAGTTGAAGTCACCCCAGACAACATTGTGTGGCTCTTTGGGGTGACACAATTTGCCTGAAACCCCTGGAAAGCCAAGAATCAACCAACATGTGATTAGTCACCCACTCTTGAAACAAAGACTCCACTCTTTGCCCTTCTTTGCCCCTCTTTGTCCCAACCTGATGCTTTTCCCGCCTTGGGGCCTGTGGAAGAACCACCGGCCACTTGCCCGGTTCACGTTCCGGCCGTGGGGCGGAAGATGGCCAGGCAGGTGGCCCAAATCTGCCAGCGACTGGCGAGCTTGGAAGATGGGCCCAGGCCGCGTCGGGCGTCCGAGTCCAACGCTGAACACGGAGATGGGCCCAGGCCGTTGAGTCGAAAAGGACTTCAAATGGGATGGTTCCTGTTTTCTTTTTCTTCAGACATTCTCGACTTTGGATGCTGAGCATCCAACAAAAAGCCACCTTTCATTGGTGGCATCTTGGCTTGCCTTTCGTGAAGATATCACATCATGTCATATCCCTTTGAAGCCCTTCTTCTTCCTCCTCTTCTTCTTCTTCGTCTTCTTCTTCTTAGACAACTTCTAAATTCAGATCTTGCAAGTCCGTCTCAACGGACCTTCTTCTTTCTTTTTTCCCCGGAACAGGAAGAGGGCGGAGAGGGGCGCCGATGACAGCCGCAGCACCTCCAACTTCGTGGCGACGACGAACTCGGCGCCTTCTGATGAAGCCCAGCTGGTCCGCGCTCGCGAGCGCGGGCTCCGCGCGGAGCGCGGTGACGAGCGGAGCGGTGGGGTGTGTGGGAGGATATTGGCAGAGGTGCCGCCTTTGCCAGAAGAGCATTCCAAGATGTTTGTGGTCTAAACGCCTCAACTGCTTAGTACAACCAGAGTTGTTTGATGTTGTTTGGTAAATGACGGTGAACGATTCTTCAACGAATGGCAGACCAGGAGTCCTGGAGATGGCCGCTTTGGTGGATGACTCTGTGTTTGCCACCCTCTTGGCGAAGATAGGGGGAGTCTGTAGGACTGGAGCCTTCTGAAGCAATGAACAGCCATATCATAAAAAGGAGTGTTTTTGTTGGGGGATGGGAACAGGGACTGTTGATATTTGTTGATCACTAAAATATTTATAAATATTTATAAAACAATAACAATAATAATCATGATAATATATGGATACTCACCCACATACCGGAGTGGTTTTACAGCTCCATATGGAGGTGTTTTGTTCAACTGTCAACGTCAGATCTTGCCACTCCGGGAACTCAGGCCCTTGTCACGTCCCTCGACTGACGTAAGTCACTCGACCCGACCGTTCGAGGCGTTCGAGAAGGAAGAGCTGGAGAAGGAAGAGCTTGAGAAAGAAGAAGACGCGGAAGACGATTTGTTTTTTGTGTAAGTACAAACCGAACCTTCTTCTGATCCGCTCTCGCGGGATCCCGCGAGCAGCGGAGGCGGAGTTCAGCTGCGTTTTTTCAAAGCCCGAGAGTGTAGAAGATCTGGTTGTCAACACTTGGAAACGTAGCAGACTATAATATACTATAGGTTCCAAGGGATAGAGGACTTTTGATTGCAACTGATTAGCAAAGGGGTTGTTCGAAAAGAATAGATGACCAACGCCAAATGCATCCAACATGGTAGGTCCTGGAGGAAGCCTGATCCAATCATTGCTTGGCCAGAAATCATCATGTTGTTGCCGGTTGTTTGAGATCCAGATTAACCCATTCTGGGTGTCTATTAAAATAGGGAGGCCTCCCAGTTCGACTTCCTGGAAGAGGGACCATGGACGAAACCCATTGGTTGGGTGTCTCCTTATATAAGGCGTAACATAGGCACGAAGTCTTGGATCCATAGCTGCCCAATCCAGTGGATCCAGTTACCAGTAGGTAACCAGTGGTTCCAGTGAAACTGACCTCTGTAGTACCACTGCCCCACCATGGTTCGTCATATCATGGCTGCTTGGGGGGATCTGCCGTGACAGTGTAGAGCTGCTGGGTGACGACTCTCGCGTTTGTGGCACTCGCGCTCGACCAAGCCGAGCTCCGCTCAGAATCGCTCCTCCGCAGCCGGACTCGAGAGACCTGCCGGACTCGGTAGTCATCATGTGCCTTCAAAAGGTTCCTGTGAGAATCTTTCGCCACCTTTGGGGATGGATTTGTTGAGGGTCCAAGCCGTATTTTTGGGACATGGCGATGTTTTTTGGGGCGAAGGACAAGAGAGGCCAAAGTATAGAGCCTGATGATGTGACGTGTTTTTGGTCCATGTTCTCCTGATTTTTGCCCATGAAGTGCTGGAAAAAAGAATCTGGGCCATCACCACTGAAGTGAGCAAACCCCAGGCCGCTGGACCATCACAACATCCACCCATTTGGCTGAACTGTAGAGGATTTAAACTTTAAACTGCTTGCAAACAAGTCCCAGAGAGCCAAGAACCATCTCTCTAGACAGACACGTTCGGCGGTTTTTGGGTGGCTAGCAAGCCCATCAGTATGTCAGGTTGTGTAGGGTTGCAGTGCGGATGGCATTGTATTGGAACGTTTGGACGATTCTATAAGTTTTAGATGCTTTTCGCATACTAGCCACCCCCTCGCTCACAACTCTGATACGACTTGTCCAAGTACCGCGCTTCTGGTCCCATGTGTTCCGCACTTGTTGCTGCTGGGCCACAGCGATGATCTACCCATGCCGAGTCCGCCACCTCCGGTCCATCCCCGGGCGGTCCGGTCTCCAGCCTCGGCGCGGGGGTCCGGCTTTCCGAAAGGTGCCCGGTGTGGGGGCAGTGAAGATCGGTCTGAGGACCCGATCTTCGGAGCTTCGTTGGTTTTTCAACTGGCAAGGAATTGAGAAGATCGTATGGGGTGTCTGAAACAATCATGGAAGGGGAAAATCACTCAACAGTCGGTGTAAGGTTTGGACATCGGCACACAAAGTTGCAAAAGAAGGGTTGGGAGGACCAAAGGGCAGCACATTGTTTGCGGTGGATGCTTTCTATTACATACTGGAGGAAAACTAGACCATGATAGAGACCAATGATAGACCTCAACCATCTTGGTCTGAAAATCTCTTTAGATCCCTGAGTGGAGTAGGATAGTCCAATGAAGTCCATGGGACACCCGTTGGATGGTGTTGGGATTTGACCACCCCAGCGCATCCAGGCAAACCACTGTAGCCGCTGGTAACCAGTGATTCCAAAAGACTAAAGATACTAAAGCCATAGACCGAACGAGGGCCCCTGAGGCCCCTGGTTCCTTTTTTCTGGTGCCAGGGATCCACCTGCGCGATAGTGCTGCATGCGGCCCACAGATCTTGCAGAGAAGCATGCAGCCCACACAACCGGTCTGCCAAGCTTTGAGACAGAACCCTAAACCCTAAAACAGGCCTTCAAGGAGGAAGGGGTCAAAAGGGGTCAAGTACAAGGAAGTCGCCACTGGTCGAGTAGACTCCATTGAAAGATCAAGCTGCTGATAGATACCTCTACACTATGGAGTATTGAGAAGTATCAACTTCCAAACCCTTCGCAGAAGATATCAAGTAGAGAGTGAATTTGAATTCCGGCAGGCTAAGTCTCCTGAGTGGGTCCCGGTCCTGTTGCTGGTCCATCGTGTTGTTTTTGTTGAAAAGACACTTGTAAGGAACTTTCGGAATTAGGAGGACGTGGAACATGTTCTTTATATAGAGGGTCCATTCTTGCGTCTATGTCAAGTTAATGGAGGTGGATGCGCATGTCATTCGCTCAAAATTTGTTTTTCAAAAATATGGATACAAGCCATGAGCCTGATATCTCTTCTTCACGATCTTGCGTTGTCAAGGGTACATTACACACAATTCAAACAGTAAGAATTTGATAATACAATTCATTGTTCTATACCGCTTGTTCCATACTCCTTACTTACTCCAGGATTTCCAGAGGCTCCCAAACCGGCCCCAAACAGACCTCCGACTGCAGCGAAGCTGCAGAGAAGGAATCCCAGGCGGCCACGCTGAAAGCGGGTCCTGGGAATTTAGACACTGCCAAGAGCACTAGTTTGTAACCTGGAAATAGAAAAACACAATATTTATAGGGATACAATTGATAATGTTCATAAATTCTTGTTGAGGTAGCTGTGTTTTCCACTATGTTGGGGTAGTTCAAGTGGTGGTGAGATGTAGTTGGGAGTGGTAGGTGTGGATGAAAATGGAACAAGTACCTCAAGGTGCTCAGCTCATAAGGTCCGAACCATTCAATCTCTTTTTTGCATCTCACGGTGTCGTCACACCGCATAGCTATCAGGCCTTGCGCTCAGAGGCCCACCCTGATTTTGGGCCGAAACAAAGGTTGACATGTTCTATGATCATGACTTAGTCAGTTGTCGGAGTCAACTTCACACAAGTGAAAAAAGGGAAAATAATAGCACTCCATAGCAGTGCAGGTGCTCTCTGGCACCGAGACCGCACAAAAAAATGTGCTCATTCTATACCAAACATTTGGGCCCTGGTCATGAAGTGTCGCTCCAATATTCGCTATCTGTTGGTAAACCATACACTTCTCGTGCACGGCGCAGCAAAGCACGGCCCATGCAGCCGGTGCAGTGTGAGCATGGTTGGAACTCTTTCACTTCATGGGTAGAGCGGCAGGTAACGCACTCATGTTCTAAGTGGTATCGGGTGCCGCATATTGACACCCATAGTGGTTGCCTGAATATTTGATCCATCAGGTTCACTACGCGCTCCTTTACAAACTGGTCCTTGTTGAACCTCGTGTCATGCAGAACCTGTTTCATCTCGGTGAGGTGTTCCCGAAGTCGTTGGCGATCTGTTTTCACCCTATTGTACTCATCCGTCAGGGCCTGGAATGCTTTGATGAGCTTTTAACGATCATTTTTGAGAACTTCGAGATGTTGTTGTAGATCCTCGTGTGCTCTCCGAGCTTGGAGGTTCTCTACTTGAAGATCATTGGCTCTCCGGATGGTGTCGTTCAGCCTCATCTCGAAGGCTGGAAAGTCAAGGTCTGTGTTGACCTCTCCATTCGTCGTCTCATTGCCCTCAATCTGGATGCCCTCATCGCTCACATTGGTGTCCTCGGACTTTGTCTCCGATTGGTCTGCATTATCGGGTGGATGCTGAAGGAATTGCTGCCTCCAAAACCATATAGTGGCATCAAAGATGATGACAAGGGTGATGAGAAAGGTCAGGATGTAGTGCCAGTCCCCTTCTCCATGGTTATGTTGTAGTTCGGTGTAGTTGTTTGTGGCTAATGTCGTTGTTGTTGACCCCAACATAAACATAGCTTGCATAGCGCGAGAACCCTTCTTCACTGCAAACGTCTCTGTATTCTTGTGTCGAGTCTTGGCATCTTTCTTGATTGCAGCCTGGTAGGTCTCGTCACTCTTCACTCGGACTAGGTGTGTGCGAAGTCGGTCGGCCAAAAGCTGTGCGGCATCGACTTTCGTCATGGAGTCCGAGTATTGCAGCTCACTGCTCACCCATTTTACATGAGCATTGCAGGCTTTCAGCTTGTCCTGACATACAAGCACTTCGATTGCCATCCGTTTGTCGGCTCCACATGCTGCTTGTACTTCTCCTTTGTTCAACAGGTCGTATAAGGCCTTGGCGTCAATGATCAAGGCTGGTGGTGTAGGCAGCAGTGGTGTAGTCACATCTTCTAGAGGTAGGTGTGGTAGCCAAAGGAGTTTCCAGAAAGTGGAAATGAACAGGATGGCATCGGCGCATTCTGATGCTGCTTCTGACTCTGTGCTCAGGGATGAGCGTGCTACTCGGGGTAGCTTCCATGACCTCCAGTCTAAGAGGTTTTACCGTGGTGTTTCCATCCATGGCCTTCTTGTTGATCATCATCACCAGGTGCCCTCCTTGGCTAGCCAAGTCTGCCCGACTGGCAAAGGAAGCATCGCTGAGTCCAAGGAAGGTGATGTCTTCTAGTGCATGGTAGCGCAATCCTGCATCTGCATTTGATTTTGCCATGCGAAGTAGTTTGTTGCCCTGCTCAATTGTCTCAATCTTGGCCTTTGTGATCTGTCCGCTAAGTTGTGAGGTTGCACATTGCAAGAAAGGTGCCGTTTGTGTGGATGGCCATTGCAAACTCCCAACAGTCCTCTCAACATTGTGGTCTCTCTTGCTGTCAGTTCTGACTGTGGTTCTTTCTTTCGGTGCTCCTGCAGTGTGATAGGCTTCATCTTGTGCAGGTAGTGGAATTGATGTAACAGGACATGATCATCTTTCTTTTCAATCTTGCAGCCACAGTGTTCCACCGCCAAGGAGGTCGTCAACGTGAATGCTAAATAGTCTTACGAGTGCTCCAGGCTGATCTTCATCCAGTTGGTTTGCCACTGGGTCGTCATAGATCATGAACAGGCATGCGTCGAGTGGATGTTGCTTCACTCCTGAGATGCCCATGATCCGAGACACTGCCTCGATGTACCAACTTCTTGCTGCAGCTTCATCACTTGTGGTTTGTTTGTGTCCATGCCTAAAAGCTGTTGAGCATTTTTTGGTAAATCGAACCCACAGTGTGCGTTCTGGTCCATGTGGTCGTCCTTGAAGGAATGCAGTGCTGATATCACTGGTGAAAGCTTGGAAGTTGCACATTTGGCAGATGCTCAGGATCATTCCTCTGCTCAACCTGGTCAAAGTTGGGCTATTTGTCTGAAGTTGTCCTGCCAGAGCATCAGGATCCTGAAATCCTCGTAGGACGAGGCGAGCTTTTGCTTTCACTGTGTGACTGGTTGTTGCTTCCAGGTCAAAATGAATCGGGCTGTCAATATGCGATCAGCCTGTGCATTTTCTTCAAAATCAAAGGTCCAGACGTTGTTCGTGAAGAAAGACTGGAGTTCCTTTTGTTTCGCCTTGATGAAGTTCAACTTGTCAGCGAGACATAGTGATCTTTCCTTTACTTCATTGTCTTGCTTCTGGGCAATGACCGAATGCCCTTAATTGAGAAGCAATATAGAATTTGTTCACGTGCTCGATCTCGATCACATTGTCGTGTCTTGAAGCGAGCATAGCCAGTCCACTGACCGAGGGCTTTGTTCCCTTCTTCCGCCAACGATCATGATGGTGTTGTTGGATGTCGATGGGAAACTCTACATTCATTGTCTCCTCAGTGACCGGCTTTTCACCATAGGGCGTTGTCCTGGTCGTTGTCGTGGCCCGTGTTGGTCCAAAGGATATGGTTTCTTGTTGGGCATAT